TTTTTTTTTTTTTTTTTTTTTTTTTTTTTTTTTTTTTTTTTTTTTTTTTTTTTTTTTTTTTTTTTTTTGTAAGAATAGAATACACTCACTTTCCTTGAGGTTTAAAAAATATACAATTAGTCCCATACTTTTGATATAATTATATTGACATCCCTTATATTGTAAATTTACTCGACTAAATAAGTCAACCTCAATCAACAGTGACAATTTTTTTGGTCAAAAACCCTAATTGACATTGCTAATTAGACCAACTTGATACAAAATTTAAAATTAAGGATTAAATCGATTCAATTAAAAGTGTGAGAATTAAAATGATACAAGAGACAAAATATAATGACTACCAGTATAATTTACCTATATAACTATTTAAACAAAATAATGTATTACATATCATAAAAGATCGTGCTAACCACAACTCACATGGCATTGTTTAAGTACTAAATAATGCTTAAAAAAATTGAATTCTAATACATATTTTATATATTTTCATACACATTTAATATATTTGAATATAATATTTATTCTTATGGCTTTTTTTTCCCTTTTTTTTAGGCTATCCCCATCTTTCAAATTCAAATCAATCCCACACGGTTGCACATTGTGGAAAGTTTTTCTCCAATATTTAAATTAAATTTAAAATTCATAAATAAACTATTAAATCTAAATTTAAATTATTCACTTTGAATAATTACTTTTATATAATTTTTTAAATTTTTGTATACCTTATCTCCTTGCCGAAGATCAATGTCCACTAATTCAACCGTCAAATGCTGCATTGTTATAATTTTTTGGAACTTTCAAACCCTCCATTTTTTTAATGTAAGTCGAAATTATTTAAACTAAAACAATACGAGGATGACTTATTTAAATATTAAACCCCTGGACAGCCCTGCCAAATATAGTGGATAGTATGACAACAAAAAAATGTTATCTTCTTGTAAGAGTATTGAAAGTAGTGCTTTGACTGAATGTTGAACAAATATCAATAATCATTTATATTGATATCTCATTATTAACTCATTAATTTTGATATTTGAAGTACTAATGACATAGTGTCATTTTGAGAAGTAATAACGTTTTTTATTCATGTTCCAAAAAAACTCCCGGTCCAAAACATCACTTTATTCATTTGGCAACTTTTCAAAACGCAACACTGGTGCTGTTTAGTGTAACTGTTAAAACAGATTATAAATTATGACTTTAATCAGAAGCTGTTAATCTGTTTGGTATAACTGTTAGATTATAGATTTAAGTTACTGAGTAATGTTTGTTAAATAAGCTGTGAAGTAGCTTTTTCAATTAACTTTTATTTTTTATTATTCACTATTTGTTTATATTTCTCATAAAAAATAATAATAATATTTTATAGTCTATTTGAGTCTTTTTCTATTTAAAAAAAAAATAAAAAATAAAAAAATTTAAGAGTACAACCGTAAATTAACATGTCCACATCAGAAGCTGATAATCAGAAGCAAGGAGTGAGCAGCTTCTCAGAATCAGTTTTTTTGATTTAAAATAAGTTGTTAGAATTAGAAGCGGTTTGAAATAAGTTTAACCAAACAGTCCAAAATAACTTTTTAAAAGTCAGAAGCCATAAGTTGGCTCAAAAAAGTCCCACCAAACACCCCCACTGAAATTACAGTTTGGGCCTATGAGACAAAATTGAAAAGGTGAAAAATAAATCTTAAGGAATGATATTTTGGTCATTTTAGAGTGATGTGACACTTTTAAAAAATATTAAATCAAAAATCAAAAAAGTCAAGCGTTTTACCAACTTTCCAAATCACTTTCAAAAAAGTCAAAAATTTGGTAAAAAGTCAAAAACCAGCTTTTTACCAACTTTCCAAAACACTCCATAATAAGGAGAAAAAAAAAAAAAAAACAATCAAACGACCAAAATATCACATTACAATGAGTGGGATTCAAAGGCTCAAAAATTAGAGTTCTAAACATTTTTCAACTCAAAAACATTAAATTTCCAAATTTGGTCAATTTCCAGATTGAAAGTGCATCTCTATTTCTTTCTCTTTTTATTTTTATTTAAAAAAAAAATGAAACAAGACATTATTGAGAACTCAAATTTGTAGAGAACAATAATCTAAAAAGTTCTGGACAAGGAACAATTGGAATTGTAGAGGAGGAGGGAAGAGCTGAAAGCTAGTTTGGATGAAGTTAGGTCAAACTCAAGAAAATGATCCTTCATCTGGTACCCGCCTAACACGACTGAGGTTATTGGATGCGGCCCTCCATCCACAAATCCCAGGCAAGAAACATCTTTGTTAACCCTCACCATTGAGTTGGCACCATAAATCCTCCAATAAACGCCCTTTCGCACAACAAGATCAATACTTGCCACAGCTGGTCCGGTTATGGTGCTAGCCATAGTCTTTGAGCTAAAGCATGCTCCGAATGGTGCCACGGATGTCACCATTTTGATCTTTCTAAATAAGGCCTTTTTCACAAACTCACTAACAAGACATTTGTAGATACAAGTTTGAAAGATGGTATATGGGGTTATGGTGCTTAATTTGGTTCCACCAACTCCGTTTCTATCGATGGATAGCAAGGACGTGTTGAAAGAGATGAGTTTAGTACCATCGACTATGATAGATTTCACGCTAATGAAATATTCATCAGGTTGAGCAGCATTAACGATAAGTGGAGTGGTGGTAAGCGACTTAGTGAAGTTTAGGGTAGAAGGATTCAAGTAGTAGGGCGCACCCCCGATGTAAATGTTGGCATACAACCCAGTTGAAGATGGAAGACAGAAGGCAAACTTGTTAGGTAACTTGAAGGCCGAGGCAATCTGAATGGGCAAGGCGGTTTGTGTCCTTCCCAAGCCTACCATACCCTTAGTAGCTCTCGCTAGTCCTTTCAAGAGAAATGAGCTATTAGCACATGAGAAAGCAACACATTATAAACATACAAATGACTCGATCTGTCCACGAAACCTACAATTGAGACATCCTCGAGAAGCACATCGGCTGCAACCAAGTTCTTGACCGAGTTACGAGCCAAGACACCACACATTTTTTTTTGGGTGGTGGTGGTGGTGGTGCATTGAGAGCCTTTGGCGGCTTTGCATTTTGCAGAGCCGCAACGAATGGGGCGATATGATGTGGAGTCGAAGTCATGACAGTTGAACCAGAGTAATTGGCCTCCGAGATCGATGACTACCTGTCAGTAATAAGAAGAAACATTGGAACCCAGTTGAATTTCGGTGTAGTACTGGAGAGTTTGAACATCCTTAATGACGGTATAGACTAGGTTAGTTGGGTTAGGATCTCCTAGTTCGGAATGTGAAAGAAAAAAAGTAGAGAACAAGGGAGGAGAAGAAGAGATAGAGGGAAGAAGCCATTGAAGACAAGTTTTGAGTTTGTGAGAGAGTTGAGTAGTAGTAAGTAGTACTGCTTGCTAACTCTTAATATATACTAGTACTACTACACTAGTTTGGCTGATAAGCACATGTGGAATTACCATTGATATAACTATAAAAATTCTAAATGCAAATCACACAATCATATAATACAACCTTTTTATATGGGACCCCTCACGACACCTGGAATCTTTCACACACACACATCAATAATACTACTTGCATAAAAAAATTGCAAAGACGTACCTTTGAAAATGTCATCAGGTTGATCTATTGCTTTCTATATATGTGTAAAAACGTGGTTGGGTTGGATCCTAATCACCTTGTCCCCCACCACAAATAATATTTGTTACTTTGAACACTACTCTACCTCTGTGTTCAAAGTATCGAAATGTACTAGTAATCTTAACTCCGGATAAAATTTGCACCCAAATTACTCAACGTTATATGTGGCCCCTTTATAATTTCAACTCCTAATATAGAGTGTGGGTTAACACAATATATCACAAACCAACCAACGCATCACACCGATTTATGTATATAAGAATTCAATATTGGAAGAGGTTATCTGCTTGGATATTTTGATTCAACCTTAACCAACATTTTCCTCTTTTAATTCTTTTTCAAGCTCATATAACTTGACAATCAACAATTAAAAAAAAAAAAATTAAATGCTTATTAGGGAGTGTTTTGGAGAACTTTTTTTGGCTTATTTTCTTTTTTGGTGAATTTTTGATAAAAATTTTCAAAAAGCTATAGGTTTTTAATTCAGCTCGATAAAATGAATCGAAAAATTATAATTTAAAAAAAATCAAAAATAAGTCAAAATAAGCAATCTTTTTTTTGTTCTTATTTCCATCTTTAGTGGTTTTTTTTGATATTTTTCAAAAAAAAATATATGTACTTTTTAGATTTGTCTCTACAAGAAGGACCAAAAAAATAATAACTTTTGACGTAATTTTTTTAAAAAAATGGTCATTTTTTGATAAATTCTCTTTGTAAGTGTTTTATTCTATCTAACTCATATTCTTTTTTAGTATTCCATTAAGTCTGATATAATGTAATATGACTAAATCATCATTTCTAATTTTTTGCACATGTTTATATTTTGAAACTAATACATAGCAATAATCTCTCATTTTATAGAGAAAATATCTCCCTCATTCTAAAAAGAAAATATCTCTTATTTCATTGAGAAAATTTTTCTCTTATTTTAAGGAGAAAATCTCTCCCACTTTTCCTAGAGAAAATCTCAAATTATGAATTTTGAACATTTTTATAATTTGAAAATTCTAAAAATAACGCAACAAAAAATCTAAATGAAAATCAAAATACAATATAAATGTTCACAGTAAATAACAAACATACAATTAACTTTTAAAAAAACAAAACGCATACTAAAGTACAATGTAAATGTTCAAAATAAACAACAAACATACCACTAACCTTTGAAAAAATAAAATTCATAGCAAAATATAATGTAAATGTTCACAATTTATAATTAACATACAACTAGTCTTAAAAAAAATAACTCACACCAATGTAAACAATTACACTGCAACATGAAAATATAAAATAAAATTAAAAAAAGTGTAAATCGATTATTTCAATTGTTCAATGGTAACAAAAATGATTGTTCAACTAACATGCATAGTAACAAAAACAACAAACACACAATTAACTTTTGAAAAAACAAAACTTATACCAAAATACAATGTGAATGTTCACAATTTACAATTAATATACAACTAGTTTAAAAAAAAAAAAAAATTCATACCAATGTGAACATTTACACTACAATGTGAAAACATAAAATAAAATTGAAAAAAGTGAAAATCGACTATTTCGATTAATAAATGATAACAAAAATAATTGTTCAACCAACAAGCATAGTAAAAAAAAACAACAAAATATAATTAACTTTCGAAAAAACTCATACCAAAATACAATGTAAATGTTCATAATTTACAATTAACATATAACTAACCTTCGAAAAACTAAATTCATATCAATGTGAACAAAATTCATATCAATGTGAATATTCACACTGCAACATGAAACAAAATTGAAAGGGAAAAAAAAAAAAACTATTTCAATTGTTTAATGGTAACACAAAATTATTGTTCAAACAATAAGTATATTAACAAATAATCAATGATATGTGAACATTCACATATTGCAAAATATATAATTATGTCCATATCTATATTTTGAACACTTATTTCTCAGAAATTTTCAAACAATGTGAAATATAAACATTCATACTGATTGACAAAAATATAGAAACAATGGCGGCAATAGAATTAGAAATCCAAAAAAAAACTCAATCACTCTAAAAATTAAAAAATATCACCCACATCCGCATCTTCATCACCATTTTTATCATTATCACTATCATTAACAATCTATGCAATTTCACCATTCCACCAATCCAAATCAAACCAATCCCACCTTTGAAGAATATGTTTGTAATAAAATTGACTGGACATAAACAGAGTTTCGACTTACAACAATGGAGAAATATAGAATTTCGAACACAAAACAACAATGGACGAACACAGAATTTCGAACACAAAGTGACAATGGAGTAACACAAAATTTTACCGCAACAATGTAGGAACAAAATATTATTTCACCACCATGTGTAAATTAAAGTTTCTAAACCCCCTACTAAATAGAGAGTTTCAAACCCTAGCACAATGAAATAATACCACAAATGTGAACAAAACTGATTAAAAAGAAAAACGTGAATAATGGTAACTGATGATACCGTTTGAACCGGGTGGAACGGGTCAGACTGATCCACGCTCCTCAAGCCTGTGTCCGAATGACCAAGCCCACCAGAAGACCTGCACAAGAATTCAACGGGGAACGGGGAGTCCCCCAGCGAACCCTCCGATGAGCAAGTTAGAGAGAGAAGTAGAATGTAGAGATAAATTAGAGATAGAAAGCTTAACCTTCTTCTCGTCTTTGACGTCTGCTTATATCTTCTGGTAATCATTTCGTTGTCCCTTCCGACCTGTCACCTTGGCCGAAAGTCTATGCTCTAGCTTACCTTGTTCATGGTGAAGTCATTCTGTCCCGAAGGAGAGGGGTTATCGCAATAAATGTTGTAAGGGGCTTCATTAATGGCGATGTGCAATGGCAATAACTTTACAGATCTTTGTCTGCTTATGTGGCTTGCCCTTCTCTTGCCATGTGTCTTGATATCATTGGTTCTCGTTGCTACGTGGAGCTTCAGCCATGCTGGGCTTTAGTATTTGAGTTATGTATTAGGCCTTAAATGGTGGGCTATAATCTTTATGGACTTATCCATGTCAGTAGTCCCCCATTCCCAAGTGCAGCTTTAGTCCAACGAAGGGAATAATGAAGAAAACGAGGATTGTGAGAGACCGGCAAGGAGAAAGCTGACCGAGAGAAGTGACCGACCATAAGGAGGGCCGACCGTGAAGGATGGCCGAATGGAGGGACCGACCATGAGGAGGGCCGACCGCGAAGGGTGGCCGAGCAGAGGGACCGACCACGATGAGGGCCGACCGCGAAGGGTGGCCGAGTGGAGGGACCGACCATGAGAAAGGCTGACCGCGAAGGGTGGCCGAGTGGAGGGACCGACCATGAAGAGGACCGACCGCGAAGGGGGAGTGGCGGTGCGCGGGGCTCAAGGGACGGCGGGGCACGTAGTGATTTGAATTGGAAAAGACAGGGTAGAAGAAGGGGCAGTGAATCGTGGTCGTACACATGGCAGAATCCTGTAGTGGGGAAGGTTAGGCGTTGGACAAGAAGTAAAACGATAGGTCATTATAGGGTGTCGAAAAGACAGTTTTGGCGAATTGTTGAAAATTTTCAAACTGATGAAAATTAATTGTGACTCTTAGAATATAGGCAAGCCTTGGGCTTTTGGTATTATCCGTTTTACATATCTCTTTGTAAACAGCCAAAATATTCCAAGTGTAAACTCCTTTGTGTCGAGTGATACCCCTTTACAACATTTTGTGGACTATCTCGCACCAGCATCTGAAGCTATTCGCAGACACACAAGAGGAATGGCCCAAAAGAAAGCAACAACCGCGAGGGTTGATCCATTGGGGGATGACGATGCGGCGGATTTGGCGGAACAATATCGCACGGAGCGTGGGGAGGGAGAGGGAGCGAGTCAGGCTGTGCTGGCTCGCCCCATGACAATAATTTCGGCCGTGAGACCTATTAGTCAGGTGGAACCAGACCATTGGCACACCAAATCAGACAGATCCGTGCTGACAGCAGAGGAGTTGGAGGGAGTAAGGAAGAAGCATCAAATTCCGTCGGAGATAGGGCTAAAATTGCCCACAACTAAGGAGAGGGCATCAGACGTGCGGCCGGGCGAATTTAGCCTGTACGAGGAGGCATTACGAGGGGGTTTGAGGCTACCTCTGCCCCAAGCAGTGGTGGAAGTGCTGAACAAGCTAGAAGCGGCGCCAGGGCAACTGATGCTG